TTTGAGCAGAGGGGCTTAATGAGTTTCAGTTCTTTAGTGTTGTTTGTCATTTTCGTCTGCGGTGCGGTATAATTAACAGCTTCGCTTGTCCTCTGTTAGCGACGTCCGACATGCGCAAGGTGATTTCTCAGAATATTTTAAACTTAACTGTTTCTTCATACTTCATCGCGGAAGCAGATCTGTTTCTAGTAGGTTTTGCCTACTTTCAGAGTGGTCCCCTCTTTCACCTTCCGTGATCGGCTCTCAGAAGAGGAAGTATTTTGTCAATTATTTTTTTCTGAACCGTTTTATCGAATGAGGAGAGTCGCCTTCTTTTAGTTCCTTAGAGAGATGTTTTAGTTTGACAGTGAGCGTTGTGTCGTTTGTAACTGCCGACCTTGGGTCATCAGCGTTGCTGAAAGCTGTTCAGTCGATTTTCCTGGCGTTTCAGGATTGCTGCTATTTCAAGGCCGTATCAGAAAACGGTGAAGATAGCTACTTTCAAGGTAGTAACCGTCGTTATTGACTATTCGCTGCATAATATGTGCGGTTTTCTAAAGTTCGCTGCTGTGAATCATTTTCTAATGATTAATGTCTGGGTCTCAGCTTCCGCCGTTAGTAATGACTTCATTCAGATGCTTGTAACGATCAGCGAAACGTGTCGGTGTTCCACATCTTCATACCATTTAATTTCATCACGACGGCCAGAAGGCTTTGCTCTAAAACTACCAAGCTCGGCGAACAACAAAAGGACTTTCGAAGCACTCAACCATCTTACTTCCCCCCATCGAAGAGGGCAGGCTGAAATGTCATACTAATCAATCATCCAATCGACCATATTTCTGCATGTATTAATAAATCGTGTTGTGTGCTGTTTTTCAAGATTGTAGAAAACAGTTTACGGTGATTTCCCTAAGCGGAATATTGAAACAGTTACACAGCGATACATAACTGGATTTCACGGGCTTACAGCACAAATTCTATGTTTCGAAGTGCCAAGGAGCCATTTAGGCAGTCCAGGTTCCCAAGTATTTGCACACTGTAATACGTAGTTCTATATCGTATCAGTTTTTCACTGGAGCCGTAGGTTGAACTATAGAAGCTAGACACGATGCTGCACCGAGATGCCCAGTTTGGTGCTGTAGCTTTATTAGGGCACTCATGCGTACGATTCCATCTGTTTTTATTTTCCGAAAAACATATCAGCTGTAAAATATCGTTGGCGACGATTACGATATTGTTCTACCCGAGTCCTGAAATGCCACCGTAACCTATATATGCATGTAGAAGCAAGGAGGCGATGGGATGCACTTTAAAGTTCAATTTTGGATAAGTTATACGCTTATTGATTTAATTCCCTGCCAGTTCGTATCTGTTTTTTGTTTGGTCATGCCAGAATCAGCGAAGTGTACTGCTATGGTGTCCGATGCGAACGCCTGGTGTGAGCGCATTTTGCCTTGACTCACTTGATAGCTGATTATCTGGCGTAATAATCCGTACGAGGTGTGATCCTGTTTTTTTTCGTTTTTTCTTCATTTCTTTTGGCAGAATGTAGCGAGTACCGGTTGCTAACACATCGTTAGTAACGGGGAGGGTATGTTCTAGCTAATAAAATTATTCCAGCTGCATATAGGGACTACAAATGCTCGAAAACTGCAAGTCATATCTTGTTGAAATGGCCGCTAGGATATAACAACAAGAACACGATGGCTTACGCCACGAAATTCGGTTTCGTGAAGATATGTACTAATTATTAAGCTTTACTCTATCAGCGGTATTAAGGTTAAGATGTACAGATGGTCCTCGAGTCTCGCTTAGCTCACGCTTTTTTGCGCTGAACTAACTATTTTAGAGCCTGCTTAATTCAGTTTGTTAAATCTTACAGCGATCCCGATAAATGTTTGATCGAGAAGTACAACAAGAAGTTTGGAACAGTCGACTGCCAGTCGCTTTTACGTTGGCGCTAGAGGAATTTGTGTTCGTGGAACCGGTGAACACGTTTTACGTAAGTGTTTCTGATATCTTATTTCTGTCTTTCTCTCATTGTCGCATCGTTGATCAGCATTAATAATTAAGCTAAGCAGTGGTCGATATCGTCATTATTTTTGATGTCAGCACAGTCGTACGTGCGGAAAGTGCGATGAAGCTTTCAGTGACGTATGGCGAGACACTGACCTCATCGTAGGCTTCAAAGTTGGGGCACGTTGGTGCAGCGACGAGAACTCTATTGGATATCGAATCCTTTCCGCTGAAGCAGAAGAGTGCATACATGCCAGAAGAAGGTGTAGGCCAGGGGGAAAATTAACCCCTTCTAAATGCCAGTTTACAGAAACCCATAAAGACTGCGAATATTATCGCCGCGGGATCTTTCGTCCTATAATCTTACTGATATGTACAAGGGGCTTCTTCCCAAAAATGTTTCGCTCCTTTAAAAGATATTTGCATTCTTGGTGCAGCATTAAATTTCCACAAAAGGTAGATGAGTTGAATCGATTGAAAGTCGATGACGAAAACTGCGTATTTGATTAGGACCTTCTACCGAGTGGCCGACATGATCCTTAAGCGCTTGCCGCATCAGTGCAGTCCTGTTTATATCTATTCTTTCACGTATCTGGATTGCACACAGCACCTTGCGTTCAGACCCTTCTTTAGAATTCTTTCCATTCTTTCTTCCAGCTTTCAGACTTTTCATTTTATGATGACTTGTAACTTCACCGTTGCCGATCCGAAGCCCGGATGAGAAAGGGGGCTGTTGGAAATCGTGGCGAGGTCTCCCTTACAGCTTAGTCATCTACCTCACGTGGTATTGCCGTTATCGAGCGTTTTACTGGTTTTGCCGCCGCTTTGGTGACTAAGTGCTGCACAGGCTGTTGGAGAACTGAGAAAGACTGCGAAAAGTGATCGATTTCAACTTTCTTACCGCATTCTGGTAGCCGGGGGCCTGGCAGCACAAGAACGGTTGCCGAAAATTGACAAGAGGACGATAAGGATGCCAGTGAGCAACGGAACCGCTAGCCATTCTGAACGGATAAGGCAGACAACACGATGCTATTATAGTCAGCAAGATTAGATTCTACGGGAACGATACCGACAGTGGGAGCTCATAG